AAGAAAACTTGTTTTTGAAAATAATACAGAATTAATGAAATGGTGGAGAAAGCAAACTAAAAGCTATTTTCTAAAGAAAATGTAATGAAAAAATTTAGTTTCTTCTGGATTCCCAATTTTATCACTTTTTATAGTTTAGTTCTTTGATGATGAATCTCGTTTTGAAAATGAATCTTAATTGCCTAATAGTGAAGATTTTACTTATTGGCAGACCTCTTTATCATTTATTGTTAGCACAAGTATAACTAGTTTAGAAAATGCTCCTAAATTAGCCCCCTTGATCTGATGCAATAATTGCCTAGTGCGAAATAATGCTCCCAGACTCCTAGCAGTGTTTACTTTGAAATAAAATCACATTGCATAGTTCTCATGTTTCACAGCTTTTCTAGAACCCATTTCCTGAAGTGATCTTTTTACAGTTCTGTATACTAACTATTCAGCAGGTCAGGCAGTGAAATAGCATCCTGGCATTAATCAGCAACTAAGATTTATATCTGTAACTAAGGCATCACTCTGATATAAACTAAGATAAACAATATTATTTACATTAGTGGTATCACAGGCTTTATAGCTATATTCAGTACAGGAATTAAAAAATTTTTTTTGACTGCTTTATTTTAGATATATGTCAATATCAGAGAGCTAGCATTGCTTTAAAGAGGTACACTTCATGAATAAATTTTTATTTCTCAACTATTCCTCATTATAAGGAACTTCTGATGGGAAGTATGAAGGAAGGAATATTTCAATCCCATATAGTTGGGATTATTCAGAACCTTATCTGCTTTCTGTTATTTTGAATATTGTTCCTGAAATCACTAGCTATTGGCTAGCTTAAAACAATGGCTATACCAGCAGAAGCCAGCACTTATTTTCCTTTTTACAGGCTTAAGTGCATAGGCATACAAAGACTATGGTCTGGCAGTTCCTCAAAAAAATTAAAGTTACCATGTGACCCAGTAGTTGCACTCCTAGGTATATACTCAATAGAAATGAAAACTTAATGTCCACACAAAAACTAGTATGCGATTGTTTATAGCAGCATCATTCATAATAGCCAAAAAGTAGAAACAAAAATGTCCATCAGCTGATGAAAGGATAACTCAAATATATATCTATACAGAAGAATATTATTCAGCCATTTAAAAGGAATGAGAGGTGAGTGCAGTGGCTCACGCCTGTAAGTTCAGCACTTGGGAGGGAGGCCATGGCAGGAGGATTGCTTGAGGCCAGGAGTTCCAGACTAGGCTGAGCACCATAGTAACACCTTGTCTCTACAAAAAAAAAAAAAAAAAAGCAAAATTAGCCAGGCATGGTCGTGTGCACCTGTAGTCCCAGCTAGTTGGGAGGCTGAGGCAGGAGGATCACTTGAGCCTGGGAGTTTGAGGTTGTAATGAGCTATGATGATGCCACTGCACTCCAACCTGGGTGACAGAGTGAGACCCTGCCTTAAAAAAAAAAAAAAGAAAAAAACCTTAAGACAAATTAAATTTAATGGTTTAATTGAGCGAAGAATGATTCACAAATTGGGCAGCTCCCAGAACCAGAATAGGTTCAGAGCAACTCTGGGGCTGCCACAAGGTTGGATAGTATTTATGGACAAAAAGAGGAAACTGACATACAAAAAACAGAAATGAGGTACTAAAATAGCTGAATTGGTTACAGCTCTTTGTTTGCCTTACTTGTGATGGCTGCCTATGATTGGCCAAAACTTTGTGATTGGTACAAGAGTAGGTTACAGTTCACTATGTATAGAGAAGCCTTTAAGCTGAATTTAAAATATGTAAGGAGACAACTTTAAGCTAATTTTTTTTTCTTTTTGAAGAGACGGGGTCTTGCTCTGTCACTCAGGCTGGAGTGCATAGCTCACTGTAACCTCCAACTCTTGGGCTCAAGCTGTCCTGCCTCAGCCTCCCAAGTAACTGGGACTACAGGCACACACCACCATGTTTGTTTGTTTTAGAGATGGGGTCTTGCCATGTTGCTCAGGCTAGTTTCTAACTCTTGGCCTCAAGCAGTCTTCCTGCCGTGGCCACCCAAAGTGCTAGGATTACCAGGAGGAGCCACTGTTTTTTTGTTTTTTTAATTTTTTAGAAACTGAGTCTTGCTGTGTTTCCCATGCTGGTCTTGAACTCCTGGCCTTAAACAATCCTCCTGCCTAGGCCTCCCAAAGCACTGGGATTACAGGCGTCAGCCACCACACCTGGCCTCAAGCCACTAAGTTTAATATACTCTGTGTCCTATTTCTAATACAGATCACTTTCAAAGCAACAGAGAGCAAAAAGTTGAAATTTAAGATGGAAGAATACTTGAATTTTTTTTTTAGTTCTGCCATTTTGCTGTGTATTTTGTGACTGTATGAATATTAATACAGATTATTGGAAATTTAGAAGTCCTTAGGTATAGGATCTGCATAATAAGATTAAGGTTGTTACCAAGAATTACATTCTCAAAAATATTCTTTCTTTTAGATGCTAGGATAGTAGCTCTCAATCTTTTAGGACTTTACTATTCTGGTGCAGTTTCTTGGATTTGGGGACCCAATTTTACTCCTTGCCCTTCTTGTAAAGGCAAATTATTTTTTTGAATAGGTCAAAAAATTAGTTTTCTGAATTCTCTAATTACCCTCAAGGTGGTTGTAGATTACATAGCTTATCACATGGCCGTGGAGGATAATCATACATGAAAAATGCATTTGTTAGTCATACCCTTTATTTTTTAGAGTTCCCAATTAGGGTCTGGAATTTGTTCTAAATTATTGCTGTTTTTGACTCTAGAGGAGAGAAATGTTGGCAAAGTAAAAAGAGTGAGAGGTTTAAAGCTGGAAAGACGGGGTATAAATCTTAGTTCCATAACATATCTGTGTTTCTTTGGGCGAATCAATTTCCTTGAGCTTCAGTTTCCTCATTTGTAAAATGACGTAATAATACCTACCTGAAATGGTTGTGAAAATAAACAGTAGTACCTAACAAGCAGAAAGTTCTTTATAAATTTGTAGCTCCTATCTGATTATTATCAATTAAACTCTGGGAATAGGTAAAAGGTCTTCCTGTTACACTAAATTTTAAGTAATAGTTATACTATCTCTATTTTCCCAAACAGGTTGCTTTTTGTGATCCTAAAAACAATATGGTTTTCAGATGACACAGATTAGCAAGCAAAGTCAATAATTATTGCTGCCTTGTCCAGGAGAACGCATCAGTTATTCCCAGTGTGCCAATTAGGGAACAACATGAGTCTATTTACTTCACCTTTCATTTTATTATACATAATACAATTAGTACTTCTTCCAGTTTGTTCCTGGTTATTGTTAAAGAATACCTTTGGCCAGAATCCTTGGGTCCAGTCTCCTTTGTCACTCTTTCTAAAAGACTTCTGCCTTTTTTAGACTTTACAGAGACAGCTATAGAAACCAACTTCATTGCTTGTCATAGTGGCCAAAAAATGCAATTTCACACATGTGGAATGGGAAGCAGAATTTTATTACTCAGTTTTATCAGCTTGGTTCACTGAGAACTCCCTTTTTTGATGCAAGTACGGTCTTTTTGGACTTTTCTGAACAATATAGACAATGAGAGACCACCTCAACTGGGTGCTACCTGGCAATTCTTCTATTTTTTTTTGCCAGTGTCCAACAAGGGCTATTTTAAATCTTCTCCACAATCGTTAAATATTTACATCACTGTCTTTTCATTTTTGGCAAAAGATCTCCTTTCTACATTACTGAACAAAGAGGGACTTTTCCGAGCCTTTAGCCATTGGGTCTATAAACCTCCTTGCTAGAGTACCGCTTCCTACTTCCTGGTCAAGTATGTTGTATTCCTGCCTCCAGTTTTTCCCTATCTGCTTGCACTTCACAGCCAGACTTTCTAAAAGAGCTGTCTAGGTTCACTTTTTTTATATCCTCCCTATAGTCACTATCCAGATTACTGAAATGTGGCTCCATTTACTGCTGGAAGTGCTCTCACCCTCCTGATTGCTAAATCCAGTAGCCATCTCTCTGTTCTTCTCTTGCTCTCTCTTGACAGGGGACACATATGATTGCTTCTTTCTTTAAAAACTTTCTGTTCTGTGTACCACTTTCCTGCTGCTCTTCTTACCTCTGTGGCCATCCTTTTTAGTTCCTCTTCTTCCTTTGCCTGCGCTTTGAATGTTGTTGATATTAATGTTTTCTTCTAAGCCCCTTGCACATTTTCCTCAGGACCGAGGAGGTGCTGAGTGAATATTTGTTGAATGAATGAATTGTATTTGTACTGATGATTTCTCAAGGGATTTGATTATAATTGGACCTTGTTAACTGAAAAAATTACAGTATACTAAACCTGATTATGTACTTGACAGCCAAACTTTGGTCCAGTCTTTCCGGACCATGATTCTCATAATCTAGCATACTACAAATACACATTGAAAAAAATCTAAGCTTGTTTCAACTTTTATGTTTATGAGATTCAGTTATTGTTTTGTGAGTTCTCTGTATATAAAAGATAATTAAAAGGTAATTTTAAAGAGCATGCTTTTTCTAAAATTTTTATACCTGTTTATTTACAAAAATCCTGTAGCATAGCTGTTCATTCTCAATAAAATAGTAATACCTTACTTGGAGTAACAATTTTCAGCATACACAGAAGTATGTATTCTGAAGGTTAGGATTAGAGGGAAGAGAATTAATATTTAATAAAATTGTTTTATGCCAGGCACTGGCCTATGTGCTGTCTACATTATGTAATTTCATCTTCCAACAACTCTAAGAAAGAAATAGTCATCTTGTAAAGAGGAGAAAACTGAGGTAAAGAGACATTAAGTCATTATACACTGCAAACTATACAGCTTCTAAAATTCAGGAGCAGAGTTTATTCTGTCAGACTTTATAGCCTATGAAACTCTTCTAAATGATATTTAAAATTTAAGCTGAGAATGAATGCTAAATATAGAAATAATGAGTTCTTCAGTTTAGTAAATGTAAATTGTGTTAAAAGTTGTCTGTGTCATTTTGTCCCCAGGCAGTTATTTGGCAGAAAACTAGAGTATCGGATCACAAGATGGCTCTCATGTCAGTTTTGGGGACTGCCATTATGGGCAATATGGAATCCTTTCAGTACCACTCCGAAGAATCTCAGGTATACAACAAAAATGTTCTTTAATGATTCTGATTTGCTAAAGAAGCCGTTAAAATATTTC